AGAAAGAACTCTTACAATTTAATAACAAGAAGACAAACAACTCAGAAAATGCCAAACTGTTTCCCAAGGTGGCGTACAGAGCCCCCCTGCAGTGTATGAAAGTCACTTACTAACTTGTGTGATCTTTGGCAAGTCGCGACACATCTCTCAGACTCAGAAACAGCAGTAGAATGCAAAACTAGTCACAGTGAAGCTCCTTCCAAGACGTGGAGTCTTTCCCCCCAAACTTTGAAACCTGGCAGGCTTTGTGACCTGCGTTGACCAACAGAATGCACTAGAAATGAGGCTGAGCTAGTTCCAAGCCTGGGCCCCGGGAGGTCTTGGAGTTTCCACTCCGCAGCTTTTAGAATCTGGAGGGCATCCCATGAACAAGCCTGGGTTTCTAGGCTAGAGAAGAGCCCTGTTGTCTCAGCTAAGGCCCTTCTAGACTAGGAAGCCTCAAAGTGACTTGTGATCACAAGTTCACAGCTCTGCCAGATCACCTAGACCAGGTCAAGACCAAGAATCAGCCAGCGAAGCCCTGCCTAAATCACTATCCACAGAATCACATTCAGGGTTGACAGTTTCAGCCGATAATTTTGGAGGGAGTTTGTTAATCACAACAGATAAGATAGCTCAGCAGTGAAATGGGATAACACAAGTTACCTACCTAATAGGACTATTGGGAGATTTATTTATTTTTATTAATGAATTTTTTTTTATTGGAGTTTAGTTGATTTACAATGTTGTGTTAGTTTCTGCTGTACAGCAAAGTGCGTCAGATTCTATTCCCATACAGGTCATTACAGAGTAGTGAGTAGGGTTCCCCGTGCTATACAGTAAGTCCTTATTGGTTATCTATTCTTGGGAGATTTAATGAAATAATATATATAATCCACTCTGGCCGGTCAGAGTGAGTACTCAGATAGGTTAGCCATGATTAGAGTTACTGTTATTATCATAATCTTTAGCTTGTGGGAGAGGGGACTTTTTCAAAAGTCTGACACTTCATGTGGCTAATATGTTATTTCATAGCCTATGAAACTTCCCACTTTGAAAAAATATTTACATCATGAGCTACAGTGTAGCCCTCCTACTACACTGGCTGAAAATTACCCTTCTTGACAAGAAAGGTGGAGGCGCTTGTCCAGACCACGGCTGTTAATACAAATATGTTGCTGGTTCAGAGAGGAAGAAACGTGATGGTTCTTCTCCCTACTAATCTATCAGCTCCTGTTCTATCAAATTACGTGAGCTTTTTGTCTTGTGTGGCGTCCCACTGGACCGATTAGGTGTAAGGGAGGGAGAGAGGAGAGCGTCCAAATACTATCAAAGAGACAGAGGTTCCAAGTGGACCACACAGAGCAACTTGAATACAATAATCTCATCGACTGTTGCTTTGACATTAGCTGGGACGCTGAGCTCCATTACATGAATATTACCACAAATGATGATGCTCATCTGAATGTAAGATTTAGGATTTTGTTCCAACGCATGTTGCCTTCATGTTCCCAAGCCCCCAAGTATAAAAGCTGTAAATATTTCTAAAAATATATATTCTAAAAAATATTCCTAAATCTACAGAGGCTGATCAAACACTAATCCTTTTTAATCTTCCCTTTAATTTTTTGGCATAATTTTCAAAATTTTTACAAAATCTTTCTCAGAAGTATATTAACTGTTATGCTAACAAGTGTTAATGTAGTTCCTGTCTTTCCCTGAAAGGACTATAAAACTGCAAGCCTTCTAGGATTTAAAGCATGGATAGAAATACTCAATCCAGGTGTTTCTAAATCACCTTCCACAATCTCAAACAATGCTGTACTTGAATAGCTCTGGCAAAATGTCTTAGAGCATCATCTGTGTTACGTAACATCAAGTTATGTTACATCCAGAATAAATGCATAAAATAAAGCAAAGCCTGCTGACATATTTACTTTCAGGACACTCTATCATATGAATTTTATAATCATATTTGGAAATCCAGCTGTAAAGGTACGTGTACTAGATAAATGGCTATTGGGCATTTGACAGATCACAAGATTGAACTGTATATAATGAAAAATTCTAAACCAATGTTGGGGCAATTCATCCTTTCAAGTTAAAATCTTCAATTAATCACCTAATTTCTGTCAATATCAATATAACAATCCTTTTTATGCCTATTAATAATAAAAAAAGATTACAACATTTTTCTGAAATCTCCCTAAAAGTGATTTCTGGCTTTTAAAAGTCTTGTCTTATCTAAAGTGTTTCTATAAATATAAATGTCCTCTGTGCCCAGTGTAATCAATTTTCCACTTTCAGTAAATTCCAGAGAACTCTGCCCTCTGCAGGAAGTGTTGGCTCGACATCCTGGTGGACTGCTTGTTTCTATTAGCGACTGTGTTCTTTAGAGAGGAATGTCTCCATGTGTGCTAGACTTCAGTTCCAGGAAGGCAACAGGTCCAAGCCTAAGCATTATTTCTCTCCAATTAGGAACACACTTGTGTTTATTACCCGCAAAATACATTGCTTGAGTTGGAATTTATGGATCTGCATAACTGGAAGAATTGTTTCTTTAGGCTGAGGCACTCTCTGACGGTAGCTCTACGCTTTGAGCAAACATCTGAACAAGAACTCCAAGTGGTCGTCATTAACGCATACATCGCGGGAGATCCTTGGCAGTTCAAATGCGTCAGCACATAAAATCACTGCCACTTTGAAACCCAAGACTGCTTGGGGAGATATTTGCTGTTTTAAAAATGGTCATAAAAATGAAAGTGAATTTTATTTGATGAAAATGATGTGAAAAACAAATTATACGTTAACTATTTGAGGAGTCAAAAAAGGGGCTGGGGGCTTCCCTGGTGGCGCCGTGGTTGAGGGTCCGCCTGCCGATGCAGGGGACACGGGTTCGTGCCCCGGTCCGGGAGGATCCCACATGCCGCGCAGCGGCTAGGCCCATGGGCCATGGCCGCTGAGCCTGCGCGTCCGGAGCCTGTGCTCCGCGGCGGGAGAGGCCACAGCGGTGAGAGGCCCGCGTATCGCAAAAAAAAAAAAAAAAAAAGGGGGCTGAATGGAACCCAAGGCCCATTACATGTGGTCTCTGGAAATGTGTTTACAAGATGCGGTTGATGCAATTAATAGAATGAAGCGTGTTGCCGATGCTGCAGGCTCACACAATGAGCAGATGCTACCCCCATAATTTTCCCTTCTTTCCTTTGCCACTGCTTTCTCCTGCTCCACTGAAACCAGTGAGATGGTGCAGCTTAGAACATATAATCAACCCAGGAGCAGGGATCTTAGATACAGGAACTCAATTGTCTTCTCCTTGTTGCCCCAGCTTATGTGAACACTGCGCCCTTAGGCTACCAACCCTACAGAAAGCTGTCCTATTTGCCCTGCCCAGCTCTTTTCCTAGTTTTCACTGTTGAGCTACGTCTTAATTCCTACCTCCTCAGCCCATGTTTGTCCCTTTCACTATTCTGGGTACGTAACACTTTACCTCTCTGTACTTCATCAGTGATGGGAGGAAAGTAGGGATGGGCTACTTTGGCAACGTTTGAATATTTCTCTAGTGATCTTGCACTAATTTTGTGGGGTTTTTTCTACTTTGTACTTTTAAAAAATTTCAAAATGAACATGTGTTACTTTGAATTTGTTAAAAAGGGAGAGTGGTATATATTCAGAATAAAACCATAAAAGATTGTATATTCTTACACAGTCATTTTAATAGGAAGTATGAAAGTTGAAACTATAATAAGTATTCTTATCTAAAAAATTTGAGTTTACATATTCTTTTTGACCTCAGGGTAAAGGATGTTATTTGTAACTCCTCCAAACTCATCTTTTAAAATTTAACAAGACAGTTCAGTAGTCTATTTTTACCATAAATCTATCTGGAGTAAGAATGTTGATAACCTCAAGGTTAACATATATTCATTAGCTTTTTTTTTTTTTTTACTAAATCAGAGAGCAACATAATCCAAACAGTCTTATCCTTTTTCAGAACCTAAAAAAAAAAAGTCAGGGACTACCTTTTGAACTTTTTCCCTTCAGTTTCTCATAACCGCCTTAGTTCCCATGAGTAAAGTACATTCTTAAAGCTATAAAGTGTGAGAACATTATCCTGGAAGCAAAATGTTATTGTTAAACTACCAAATATATTTTAACACTGACTACTTTATAACTTTTATAACTTTGAAGATACACCAAAAACAATTTAAAAACACATGTCTCCTTTAACTTTAGCTTTTACAACTTAAAAATCAACTAAAACTGTACTAAGAGGGGAAGAGGTAGCGACTTTTCTGAAAATTCTTATGACCAGCTCTTGTTAAAATGTAATTTTTTTGTGTTTGAGCAAAGTGATTTCCTGTGTATTTTCCTACTCATCCTGATTCACTTTGCTAATAAAATGGGAAAGTATAGTTGCCATTACTCTTTACATCCTAACCTTAAATGCTAATGGTTCGCTGTAAATTTTTCTATATAACTTCAGATCTTAAAAGTCACTTTAATTTTTTTGTTGTTCTTAAATGATGGTTTGGACCTGGAAAGTTAAGAACAATTGATACCTTCTGTGTAGAATTTAATTAGCTTGAGTTGTATAATAGTATCTTTTACATGTGTCAAAATATTACAGTTAAAGAATGTGTATCGAATAGTTCTTCTTTGCCATGAGGAAGGAAGTAAAGAAATAAGTTTGGGGCTCCCCTGGTGGCGCAGTGGTTAAGAATCCGCCTGCCAACGCAGGGGACATGGGTTTGAGCCCTGGTCCGGGAAGATCCCACATGGTGCAGAGCAACTAAGTCCGTGCACCACAACTACTGAGCCTGAGCTCTAGAGCCTGTGTGCCACAACTACTGAGCCCTCATGCCACAACTACTGAAGCCCGCGCACTTACAGCTCGTGCTCCACAACGGGAGAAGCCACCGCAATGAGAAGCCCACGCACCACAACCAAGAGTAGCCCCCGCTACTCATTGTTGGAGCTCGACATTATACTAAATTCATATAAACCGCGTATAAACAAGTCCATCCAACAAGTCAATGTATTTATTTATCTGAAATTCTAGGTTGGAGGTTATTAATCCTGTTGGAACCATTTGAAGATAGGGCTCTTTAAAGTGACTCCATGGGACTACTGTCAACGTCCTCTGGTGACTATCATCTATCTGACAGAAACATCCCTTCTTTTTCCTGTTTTGTTCCCCCTTCATCTCCGATGCTCTTTCTTTACCTTGAGCCTCGTTTCTCTCCTGGACCCTATGGGGTTCCCTAACCAGTACCCCTCCCTCCAGCTTTGTCCTCTTCTACTTCCCCTCTAAAACACCACCAGGGTAATCTTCATAAAACGGAATTCTGGTCCCCATGGCTTATTTCAGTGATGAAATCACATGGGAATAAATCATATAAAAATAAAACTTACAAATGGAGAGTGAGGCTGGGAGTCATGGGGGGTGAGTGCTCAGAGCCCCTGGGGTTCCTCTTAGAACTTCCATGCTTCCTACCGAAGCCCTCCAGTAAGTTCTGGAACCTCCGAAAGTTCCGTGGTGCCAAGTTTGAGGACCAGCGCCCTGGGCCAAACTTCCCTGCACAGGGGGAGAAACCAAGCTTAGAGGTTGAGCTACTTGCCCCCAAGAACCCTGGTGGTGGCCCCCTCCACCACTGCTATCAGGAAGGAAAGGATGGGGAAGTATTCTGGAGTGGCAGGGTGCTTGGATGGTGGCCTTGGTCTCGGACGACTTGCTCTCCTTCTCCAGCACGGCCACTCCAGTTGTTTGGCTCCCAGATGTGCAAATTGAGGGTTTCAGCCAGTGCTACCCCAGAGCTGACCTTGCACCCTTGGCATCCAGGTAGCCAGCTCACCTTTGCAATCTCATTGGCTCCACTGTGGACATTTTAAGAGACATCAAAGAAGAAATATAAGCACTGGAACCATTTACTTAACGTGCTCTGTTGGGGACGATCAGGGCTCACAGAGTGGGCGGTGTGGCTAAGGACAAAGTAGACAATATAGATGTGAAATGGCCATTCTCCATGACTGCCAGTTTGATCTCTCGCCGGGTGAGGTGGAAGAGGCTTTCCAGGTTGCAGGTGCATCTCTAGTTGGTATAAAGCAGCTGAACAGCTCCCTGGGGATGGAGGTCTGGCTTGACAGTCAGGCCAGAACCACCAGCACTAACTCATGCCTCTTTGAACTCATCCTGTGTTTTGTCCGCATGAACATCGAAATCATCTTCTGAGACACACAAAGGGTGTTGGCTTTGGAGCCGTTAAACCCCTCTAATATTGACAACATTTCCTCAGACAGGTCTAGACAGTTGTTCCTCAGCATACATACCTGGGCTTTGTGGGCAGACGTCCTGTGGGATGGTCGGGGGTGGAGGGGAGGCGGTGAGGCAGTCACGAGCCCCAGCTGCATCTGCTTCACACACACCGGGGCTGCCCACGCTGGCCTGAGCCCCAATGTCTGATTCTCATCCCCTTCTGGACTGGAATGGCTGCACGGCCACAGCTGTTTCCTCCTCCTTCTTGGTGAGATTTCTGGGCTCTGCCATGTCTACGGTTCCCTTTACCCAACACACCGATGAGCCAGTAAATGCCCTTTCCTGCTTAAGCCAGTTTAAGTTAAGCCATCTTTGCAGGAGATGCAGGATGCTGGGGCTGCTCTCCAAGCGCCTTCCAGCGGACGTATTCGCAGGGAGGGCTACCTTCTGCGTGAACAGCCAACCCTTCAGGAAGCCACCATCTTTCTAGCCAGTAATCCAAGTACAGTATACCAAATTTATGTTTTCTTTCATGACTTGTGCATTTTGAGTTGACAACTATTTCCCCAAAGATCATCTCCTTTGCCAGTGTTCCCCCAGTGTTCGTATGCGTATTTTTAATGCAGACTTAGCTCGTGGGTGATGCCGGCGCTGTGGCTCACAGACCTCACTTCCATTTCTATTTCCATATTTGTGTCTTTAACCTACCTGTAAATGATCGAGTGGTGTAAAATAAGGCTCTAAGTTAATCCACCGCCCCCGCCGCCCCGTTGACAGCCAGGTAGTCCTAGAACTATTTACTGACTAATCCATCCTTTTCCCACTAGTCAGCAATGCAGTATTTGTCATACTCCTTATTTTATGTAGAGTCCAGTAGGAGGCTCTCTACTCTGCTCCAATAGCCTATTTGTCTGCCCTGCACTATTGCAACTGCTTGACAATTGTAATTACTGTTATATTACTATAGTTTTAGAATAATTTCAAGTATCTTATAGGAAACCTCTTTAAAAAAATAAAGGAATGTTTAAAGCAAAAATAATGACAATGTTTTGTGGCGCTATAACATACGTAGAAGTAAAATGCTTAACAAAAAAGGCTTCAGGGGGAATGGAAATATAATGTTACGATGCTCTTATACTGTACTTGAAGTGGTATAATATTACTTGAAGGTAGCCCGTGGTAGGTTAAAGATGTATACTGCAAACCTGTAGCAACCACCTGCGTTATAAATATAAGATATATTGTACTTAATAAGCCAAGAAAAGAGATAAAATAGAAATACAAAAAATACTCAATTAATGCAAAATAATGCATAAAAAGAGGTTAAAAAAAGAACTAAGGCCAAACAGGAAAAAGGAAAACAAATAAGATGGTAGATTTAAACCCAACCACGTCCATAATCAAATTAAATGTAAATGATCTAAACACTCCAGAGATTTTCAGATCGGATGAAAGAGCAAGGCTGAAGTATATATTATCTTCAGGAAACCCACTTCAAATACAGACACAGATATATTAAAAATAAAAAGATTGGGAGTAATACCATAATACTACTTCCTGAAAGAAAGCTGGAGTGGCTATATTAACGTCAGACAAAGTAGATTTCAGAAGAGAGAAATTATTTGAGATAAAGAGGGCCATTTCATAGTGTTAAAGGAGTCAATTTATCATGAGGAAATAATAGTCCAAAATGTTTATGCATCTAATAACAGATTCAAAATACATGACGGAACTCAAAAAAAAATCAGAATTTTTTGTGGCTTCCAACTACAATCATAGCTGGAAATTTCAACACCCCTCTTTCAACAACTAATAAGTTGATCAACTGGATGTTATTAAAATTTAAAACTTCTGCTCTTTAAAAGTACACAGTGAGGGAAATGAATGGGAAGTCAGAGAGTGGGAGAAAATCTTTGCAACACGTGTATTCAACAAGGGACTCTTTCAACTCAATAGGAAGACAAACAACCCAGATCACAAAATAGGGAAGAGCACTGAACAAACCTTCACCAAAGCAGATATACAGATAGCAAATAAGGACATGATGCTCAACATGCTAGAGAAATGTAAACTTACACCACCATGAGATACCATTATACACTGTCACCTCCTATTCACTATTCACTGGTGAGGCGCAGAGTCCCACCGTAGGGTGACGGGGATGGCTGAACACAGGACAGGTGAGATCTCTGAACAGTTTATAAGTTACAGGTACTCACCACCTGTGGGAAGACAATGCTACAGGCCAAGCAGGGCCATGTGGGAGTTGCACTTGGGCACAGTGGCCAGCTGGGGGCTGTAAGAAGCATGCTTTGTAGCATTATGAGGGTGAGGTGACCCCTGGTTGCTGCAGGAAGATGTGATTGGTTTCTTTGAATAACTCTGTGGCTGGCATGGAACTAAAAGCAGCCACTCAGGGACGAGCAGGAACTGTGCCTGCCCCCCGATAAGGAGGTTCGTTTGGCTAGAGAACCTTTTCCGCGGCAGCAGAATGGGGAGGGGAGCTTGTGGTGGGGCCGTGTGAGACCCTCCCAATCTTACCAGGTGTCAAGGCAGAACATAATGTTAAGCCTTAACTTTCCACCTTTCACCCCACACACCCATTCAGAAACTGACAAAACCAAGTGTGGGTGAGCATGCAGAGCAAGTGGAACTCTCAGATGACTGCTGGGAAAATTAACAGGGCACAGCCGCTTTGGAAAACAGTGTAGCAGCAGCTCCTCGTAGAGTTAAACATAACCTGTCACATGACCCAGCCATTCCATTGCTAGGTATTTACTATTTACCCAAGAGAAGCAAAAGTGTATGTTCAGATAGACTTGCATCCTAATGTCCACGGCAGCTTTCTTCATAACATTCCCAAACCAGAAATAACCCAATGTCCATCAACTGATGAGTCATAAAGAAATTGTGGTATTTCCACATAATGAAATATGGCTCAGCAATATAAAGGGATGAACTAATACAACGTGGGTGAATCTCAAAAGGAAGATACTGTAGAGATTACATTTACATGAAATTTTAGAAATGGCAACCTTAAAATGACAGCATGTAAATCAGTGGTTGTTAAGGGGCCAGGGATGGAGGGGGGGGGACTGGCTGCAGAGGGGAACGTTCTACATCTTGATTCAGGAGGTCTTCACATGAACGTATGTATTTGTAAAAACTCACTGAATTATGCATGTAAACTGGCGAATTTATTGTATGTAAATTATTCCACAGTAAGGCTGAGGGAAAAACAGGAGGAAAAACCCTCAAGGCCTTAGGTTCCTACTGTCAGCAAACTACCTCAGGGCAGCTGCAAGCTTAATACTTGGAATTCTGCTTCCTCTTCTTTGGGTCCTTAGGAATTTCTTTTTAATTTCTTATGATAAGTATTTAGTGTATTTCCTCCAGAATATTTGATGATTTGTTGCAGGAGTTCTTAAAATTTTTTAATAGCCTGTCTGCTGTATTGCTGCAAGCAAAAATCTCATTTTCTGTAAAAATTCGCTGGCTTTTAGTGCTTTAAATGAGACCTAGATAGTTTTATGCAAACTTTTAAAAACGTGGCAGTTCCTAAAAATTGCTCACCTTTATTAGGAGAAACTCCCTGTATTAAGGCTCAAAATTATTATTGCTTAAAGTATGGGAAATTATGTTATAAGTTACCAACTTAGAAATTAATGCTACATATTTTTTTCCACATTTAAATATATTACCAGATAGAGCAATGTGATATAGCATCTAAATAAAGAGTTGATATTAATGAAATTAATTTAGGATGTCAGATTTAGAAATCAGTAAAAGTTGCCTCCAATTTCATATTATATAAATACGGGGGCGGGGAGCGGTTAGGGGGGTCTTAAAGTGTTCATCTAACAAACCACAAAATGAATTCAGAATGTCCTATGTAGCAGGTGTTGTGCTGGGGATGGAGGACACATCAGTAAACAAAACTCACATCCCTTCTCACGTGAAACATAGCAGGGAGGAGAGACCCCATGCAGTAATTGCAAATAAGGGCTTTAATAATGTACAAATTGAAATGCAGGGGAATTACAGGGTGCTTTAACAGTATGTCATAGGGAGTCTAAAATATGCTGGGGAATTAGGGGATGTGACCGGAAGGAAGTTATGTTTGATCTGAAAGCTGTGGGATGAGAAGAAGTAAGCTAGACCTGGTGCAGAGGGCAGGAGACAGAGAGGTGGGTAAGGAGCATTTCAAGTGGATGGAACAGAATGGATAAGGTCGTGGAAAGGCCAGCACAGTATGTGAAGAGGGAACGTAGAAGAGAACACAGTGATTCCAGAAAGTTGCAAATTTGAGAAAAGAATAATGGAATACCGAGAAGCTTTCAACTTTTAAACACTCATTAAAGTCTTCAGCTGTGGTGTTTAGTTTTCTAGTTTGAACATCAACAGACTACCACTTAACAGAATTTGAAAACATAAATGAGATCCTAGACTAGTAAGAGGACACGGTAAAGTTGGTGAACTCCTAGTGGCTTGCACCTTCCTCTCCTCTCCTCTCCTCAGGCCCGATCCATCTATTGAGACTGCTTCCTAAATATGTTTCTTAAATCTAAATCTGCATCTTGTTCCTCTCTCATTTTAACACTTCTCAAATTGGGCTGTACTTAATACATTTTTCTCTTTTTTTAAGCATTTGTAAGGGACTTCCCTGGCGTTCTAGCGGTTAGCACTCGGCTCTCTCATCACTACCAGGGGCCCAGCCTCGATCACTGGTTGGGGAACTAAGATCCAGCAAGACACGCGGCGCGCCCGAAAAAAAAAAAAAATTCATAAGACCATGTATCACTGAATATAAATTTACGTGCAAAATATAGATCGCTAATAATCACTTTCCATGATTTCAAAAAGGTGACTCTGTGACATAATACTGAAAAGTTTCTATGTATGCAGAAGGAGATTGCCCATTACACTTTGAGCAACATAATTAAGGTAAAAAACTAGGAATTTCTCAGCATACATGCAGGTATTTCAGACAGAAGATACTGGTATGTCCCACACATGCTTAGTGAGGGACCACAGCTGATGAGACACCAAACATTAATTTGTATAAAGTTTACACCTAATTTTAGAGAAAGGATGTTTTAACTCATAGTTATATATAGTTATATGTTATAGTTATATGTAATTCAACTGAGTTTTAAAAAATCATTTCAATGAATGTATTCAAAAGCCTAAAGCCATCCAAACGGGAAAATGTCCAAGATATTAAACACGGACTATAAAACGTCATGTTTAGATGAAAGCAACTCAGAAGAATCTGAATTTAAGGCTCAGACCAAATATTGATTATGATAATGAAGCAAGAGCTTTGTAAATGTAAGTTAGAGTTCCTCAAATGAAAGGTCGCTACAAATTACTTTGGGTTCTCAGTGCAATGCAGAATTTGACTCAGTAGGTCAGGAGAGAGGCTGAAGATTTTGTATTTCTAATAAGATTGTAGATCCAGGACTAATTGGGCAAAGTATTAAACTAAACATTAGCGTGGTATCATCCCCCATCCCCCAATGCAGATACCAAATCGGACAGTCCTTAAATTGGACTTATTGAGCTTCTTATGTAAGACAGCCTTCAAGGGAAAAAATACATTCTCCCAAACCCCATTATGTCCCTCCATCTCTTCTGCCATCATAATTGGAGTCCCGCTTCCTGCGTTTCTTAGATTACTGCAGTAGTCTCCTAAACGGTTGCTCTCCCTCTAGGCCTGCCACCTCTCATTCATTCTCCATACCGAAGCGTTAAATCAAATCCTTCAAAAACCCAACTCTGGTCGATATTCTGCTGGGGCCTGGGTAAACTGATCTTCAGCCACTGTACCGCCGCCTCCCACACCTACACTACACTCCGCATGTCGGCCCTAGTGGACTTCGTCCCAGCGGCCTTCCTCTCCGGCCTTTGATTTTTTTTCATGCTAGGCCTTCTGCTTTACCCCTTCTTCCCTGGCTACCCGCCCCCATCACTCATCCTTCAGGACTCAGGTGAACGCCGTTTCCTCTACCCCAGATTCCTCAGATGCATGACAGCTCCCTTTTAGAACTTACTAGACACTGTTACTGCTTATCTGTCTCTCCTGCTCAGCTGTTAGTTGAGGAGAACAGTAATCATGCTTATACCTGTACTCTGCTTATGGCCAGTGCCTGCAACACTAACCGGCACCTAGTAAACACTTGAAGCGTCATTGTAAATGTATTCATCAGCATACATATAAGGTATGATAACCCTTGTCTAGAACGTATACTGATTGTATCTTTCCTCTGTCAACACATTCCTTCCATAGAAAGGATGTAGCAGGACTGACCAGACCACAGCTTCAACCTGATAAAATCTTACTTATCAGGAAACCTTGATTATAATCTATAATTTCATTATAATTTGATATTAATTTGGTCACCAGATAAATATTAACTACCACTTACTTTGAACAAATGCTAGGCACTAAGGGAAATAAACATTGGAAGAAAGATTGAAAACCAAAACCCTCAAAAACAGAAGTAATGGATATTAACTTCATATAAACAAGTAAGAGCTATGTAATTGGTGTGAAAATAAGAAATATAAACAAGGTACTATAAAGCAGCAAAGAGAGAATATAATTTGGCTTCTGTAATTGTGAAAAGTCTTTCCAAGGAAGGTACAGTGTCTTAGAGGATAAGCAGAAATTTTCCAGATGGAAGGGGAAGTCACTCTCAGCAAAAGAAAGTGTGCAAAAGCACGATTTAAGAGAGGCCAGTCCACAGAGACAATCAAGACACGTCTTTGAGGATTTCAACACCAAGCGAATTGAAGAGCTCTGCCCCATGATTTAATAAGTTGATTGCACTCCAAGTGCACAGCAATTTAAGTGAACCGAAGGATTATATCTACAAATTAGGACTTACTAGGCGCCAGTTAGTGTTCCAAAATATTCAGCCTTCCTATCACTCTAATACCCACCTTTCAACCTTCCTGGGTAACTAAAATTATGATTCTCTCCTTTTTCTTAACACCCATCTATAACGTATAATTCAAATAACATACATTCGGGATACTTATTGAATAAGCACGCTGGTTCTTAATTTCAAAATGCTGAGTTGAATACTTTGCATTAAAAATGTTTTTAATCGAATAATTTCTATTAGTGATTTAGTGGACTTCAGAGAAAAATAAGACATACATTCTATACAGTACCCATTCCTACATGTATTAGAAATAAATAAAAACCATGATAAAATGAGTATGGATTTTAAAAAATCCCCTCCCACCCCAATAAATCTGCACGTTCTCAGGGTCGCTACCGCTTTCTTCACTCTTTGAATGAGTAGTATAAACAACCTGACGTTTTCACTAGGGGAACCTTGGGATTATTAAAAAGTAAAAATTAAATCTATAATGTTATAGGAGCTCGAAAAGTGCTGTAGCTTGTAAAATTGACAAGGTTCTTTTTCTCTTTAATGCTTCTCCAAGTGCCTGTCAATGATGTAAAGCTGTGAGGAATGAGTAGCATGAAATGCAGCTCCAAAGGCTTGAAGTTCCATTTTTTAGGGAATGTATTACACGTTAAAACATTACATTACTAAGCGTTAAAGTAAAACAAACAAATATAGAACTACTTTTTCCAACTTAATAGTCCTTGGCTTTGCCTAGAATTTTCATACGGTTGACTTTACTTCTTCTTACTTCACCTTATGCATTCTTAGTGTTTCTATTTGACCTCTGTGCAGCTGTATTCACAGCGCACAGTACAAACAGGGCCACACCGGCTGCTGATGCCTTTGCGGTCAGTATAATACATTACCTTTCATCCCACTTACGGGAGAATTAAGGGGATGGAGTTAGCGAAAATTCCAGTTAACTACGGGTTTAATTATGTAGCTCCAAATCTCTCCAGGACTCCCCTCCCTTACCTTCTCAAGACCTTCAAGTTAATCAAAAGGGGCTGGTCTGTGGTTACCAACTACTAATTACCTAAGAGGGAAATTTCTTTTCTACTATTTCTAAGAGAATTAGAATAACAAATAATTGTTCTCTCTTCAATAACTTCAGTGAAGTCAAATTTGCTTTCTTTTTCCCCAAAGATTACGTTGTCAAAGTAGTACAGTGAGATTCTTTGTAAGTATAAATGTCTGGTGGCGTTATGTGTTGATTTCATTAGTTCCTGTTTAAGTTGTTAGATAAAAGTATAAAAAAAATTTGGATTCCAAATTTCCACTAGATAATATAAGACATCTTTTACTGTATTTTCAATAGAAACTTATACTTGGCACACTTAATGTATATCAGGAAATTTAAAATTTTAAAATCATCTAATTGGTATATATGTACACTAACATAAAGGAAAAAGGAGAGGGAGGGGAAAAAGAGACCGTGAGAAAAGAAGACGATTTTTTCTTCTCTCTTGCACAAAAAAGAAAATTTCAAAAACACTTCTTTTTAAAATTGGAAGTGAGTTTTTCAAAAGGGAAAATATGATCCTATGTTTTACAGGAAATCACATATCTTAATAAAATGTAAAATACGGGCATGTAAACCACAAGGTGGTGCTACAATTCCATGCTGATGCTGAATTTTTAGAAGTTTACTTGACAAAGTAGTTTCTTTTATAATCTCGATTCATAATTTTTTACAATTGAAAAAACTAAGCTAATTGGATTCATTAATTCTAGAAATATTTACTGAAACTACTAAAGTCAAAGTTGTATGCTAACTTCAAAAGTTCATAATTTTAAAGTATGATGACTACACATGTACCTGTAGTAGAATATTAAAAATGCCTTCTTAAAAGTTATCTCTACTTAGAATTTTAACTTACTGTTAATGTTCCATAGGTGACAAATATCAAATTACATTTATATAAGCATAGGAATAAATAAGAGAATTTATCTAGTATTTTAAAATGAATTTCATTTTTCTTTTAATTTAACTTCCTCTAAGACTTTTTCTCTCTCTAGAAAGATATATAACTTCCCATCATTTAAAAAAACAAGAAACAAAAAAACTCTCACTGTGTATCTTGTAATACAGGAATGGCCACCATCTGGGTCTGAGCTGCTGCTCTTAAAATGTGTTACAGAGTAGAGCACTAAAATACCCGGCACATTTTCACCATTGTCCAACCTGCTTTCAAATACAAAAGGAGAACCATGCCCTAACTTCCTCAACGTTAACTGAAAGCGTGTTGCTGCCTTTTGACTGAGCGTGAAATAGCTGTATTTTTGTTGTATTTCAATCTCAATGAGCATATTTAACTTTTTCATTGCAAGATATTCGTCAGTACAGACGGCAAGATGGTATGTATGAGAGCCTCCTGGAGACAATATGCAAGTCCCAGGTGGAGTGTTTCCAACAGGATGTAAACCATGGTCCTCAAGCCTGTACTTGAAAAAACTACTTAGCACGCTGCCAACAAATGTCAACACAAAAATACAGTGCTGGAATGACTTCACGCTGTAAAAGAAATGTACTGGCACCTAAGTTTTCCTAAGAATAGTAAAACTGTAAAGCGGTATAAGCACAGCACAAAAATATTTAAGTATTTATTCAACATTGAATGAAAAAGCTAATATACCAAATGGAATTCAAATTCTAATAAAAATATTACAGTATATTAAAACTGTATAGAGAACTCTATGTACAGGAGCCAAAGTCCTAGAGAGGTTCATGCAGAAAATTCTATAATTAGTGATTTGGACATTTCAGTAACTCTGCAGTTTCTTCAAACCTGGAATATAATACATAAATAATATATTAAGTAAATAACAAATTCATAGTGAGGCATAGGAACTAGGTTGCTGCAGTTATGCTTTTGAGCCTTAAATAAATTTCAGTGATTATTTATAGGTAGTTACTGTTAGTAAGTACACTATGGCCAGAAGGGGAGGAAAAACAACTGGAGTCAATTATGTGTCTTTAATTCTTGAAGCATAAGTTATTTCGGCGCATCTCAATTTCCAAAAAAAAAAAAATATATATAGTCTTTTAAAGTAGTAGGCTGCATGATAATCTTACACAATTTCATTTCATATTTTCTTTCAACTGTTCTTTAAAAAAATCATGTAATTTCATATTTGTACTAGATAAAAGTATCATATTTAGTACTACCATACCAACAATTTTCTGAAAAGGACTAGCAATACTTTCACAATACTTAAAATGTCTCCGAACCATCCATCTACATACACAATTTAATATTTTGATAAAGTAGTTATCAAAAATAGATAACTTCTTGATTATCAACCAAAAACATCACTGCACTCTTTAATCTCCAATTAATTCCATTAACAATGTTTTACATCACTTGTTGGAAACAAAAACAGTGACTTATCTCACAAACACATAACTGGAGGTGGATTTATTATCCACTGGAGTCTTGAAGGAAATTCCACACCTGATTGAGAGACCTTCAAGGTTTGAAACACACACGCACATTCTTTATATATCGTAATCCAACACAATTCCCTATAGAGAAATGAATTTCTGTTGCCCCTTTCTGTTACTTACATTTTTTTCATCCTTTCCATTTTCTGGATTGTTGTTTCCTTTAATTTAAAAAGCAACAAATTTAAGCCATTTCTCAAAGGAAACCATAATCAGAGATGGACCGTGAACATATAGAACACAGTCTAAAACATTGCATTAAGTACCGTTTATTTATCACAAAGAATTTTTATGAGATTAAGATTTACAGTTTCACTATTTTTCTTGCCCATGGCTTCTGCAACTAAATCTAATGCTTGCTTGTTCTCCTGACCTTACAGAGGAAATCACCTAAGTAGTTGCCAGTTCTTCTTACCTCAGAAATCTCTTTCAAACCACAGTAATTAACAGTTGAGGTTCTGGGAGTTGAATCGGATGATACCATACGATAACCAGAGGACAAAGGAATATTTGCTTGCCTTTCCTCTTTGCTTTTTCTATCTGTGGAGAAATTAATTTTTAGGTTACCTTTCCTTTCATAGTAGAGTCAAATATCTAAAATTTCATGTATAGAGGGAAGAAACATAAACCTCTCAATATAAAGTGCCTACTGGTATAGGTCTAGATGAGTTTTTAATATTCTTTTAGGATAATGACCTGCATATGGAGATCTGGATATTAAAAACTGGTCAATAGGGCTTCCCTGGTGGCGCAGTGGTTGAGAGTCCGCCTGCCGATGCAGGGGACGTGGGTTCGTGCCCCGGTCTGGGGGGATCCCACATGCCGCGGAGCGGCTGGGCCCGTGAGCCATGGCCGCTGAGCCTGCGCGTCTGGAGCCTGTGCTCCACAACGGGAGAGGTCACGGCAGTGAGAGGCCCGCGTAACGCAAAAAAAAAAAAAAAAAAAAAAAACTGGTCAATAAAGATCACAAAAAGTAACATTATCTTTATCATAATAGCAATCAATTGAATATGCAGGTTAATGTATTTTTAAATAAGCTACTGATCCGTGTATATTCTTTTCTTAAAATGGTGGCAACTATTATTAAAACTGACTATATGTACTTCCTAAAAATCAGGAAACATTCCACCCTAAGTTGATATGTATGGAAAAAAATTGCTTAAAATTCAGGTTCACAGATTTATTAAAGAACTGAACAACTTTCCATTTCTAGTATCCTGATATTATTCAACAAAATGATGGCAAGGCTTTCCTACCATCGAATTGGATATAGAACATCAGAGATAAAACAAGTTCCTGTCCAACCAATCTCATAAGCCCTATGTTTTTAGTCATGGTACACTTGGCTGCAAAAACAAGGCGAAAAAAAAAAAAAATCAGGTACCCATTTAAACTGGTTTACATAGTTTAACTGTAAGCCTACACAGACAACCTCAATCAGGGAACAAAGTGTTAGCACGTGAGGACTCTGGTCTCTCATGGAGCCACAGTCTCTCCTGTCTCCTTCTCTTGCCTGTTTGCTCCATTCCTCTACTTACTAATGGGCATGAACTTCACCAAAAGCATTCCCAACTTAACATGATCCTCAGATCAGACTGGTGAACTGTCACTCTCAACATCAAAAGGAATTCAAACCCTCAGCTTCCAGGTAGCATGGAGAGGTAAGGTGTAATGTGTCAGGCTTCATAAATTTGACTCAACTGATCAGGGTCAGATTATACATTTTTTTGAGACTAGGTATTCAACTCATTCATAATCTATAATCCATTTCAGATAGTGGTCTATCTGCTCATCATTCTTAAGTCCTAGCATAGGACTAATGTGTTAAAAGTATGTTCTGTAACCTGTTATTTAAAAAGTACTAAGCCCAAACAGGTGAAATCGAACTTGGAAAAGGCAATGTTTTGCAAATAGCAGACTTCAGTATTCTTTCAATGCATAAAAACTTGATTTCTACCATATACAGATAGATACTGGTGACAGAAGCACAGACGTTACGCTAGACAGACCATAAGATAAAGTTCTTGCTCTCAAGGATCTTAGAGTTGAGCTTTGAAATTTGTTGAGTAATGAATGAAGGATAAATGGAAAAAAGTCAACTTCTACCAAATCTGAAATTTGTAGTCTATAATAAATCTACTGCCAGAAGCAGCATCTCAAATAATTTTATTTAATAACCTAATTATTGAACTTGTTTTCTGTGCAATGAAACTGGCACATGCACTGAATATGTAGTGTTGAAGAGAAAACGTCAAAGCTAGTTTGCCTCTTTTCCAACATGTCCCATCATTCAACAGCTGTGTGGCCTTTGGCAATTATTTAATCTCCCTTCCTCATCTGTAAAATATGCGTTATAATAGCACTTATCTTGCTTTGAGAATTAAATGCTTTACTATCGCAGTTGGAACAGTGCAGGCCTGTAGTTACCACTACAATGTGTTGTTGTTAAATTGTTATACACATAGTAGCTGAAAGATTTAATGAGGTTAAACACCCACAGATTTAAAAAGTTAGCTTCATTATGAATTCTCAACTGGACAAAATATCTCTTCTGCAAATATGATTTAATTACAAGCACGACAACATTTAGACCTTTGTCTTTTCAAAAAGTGTAAGAATCAAAAAAATTAAAGCTTTAACTGAAAAGCAGCTCAGAAATCTTATCCCTGCTGCTCCGTCACAATGACAATGTCAGTAGCCTAGTGAGGTTAAGTGACACGGAGCAGATTTGTCCTAATTTTAGGTCCTTCTCATTTTATCACCATCAGTGAACTGTTGAAATGCAAGAGGTCTGTAACACTTTACAGGTTACTGACAAATGTGTTTTTTTTTCTCTTACATATATTATTTACATATGCAAAAGCTACTACTTAAGTTTAAATTAGAAACTTTGGAGGTCCATTTATTATTCTAAAGCACTTTGCAATTAAAAGAGTAAAACATCTCTAACAGTTTGCAATTTTGTACACTGGAATTTATTCAACTACTACATGTAAGACATGTAAGTTGGCTTTTCTAGCAATCCTTGACTTATGGTCTGTAAGTTTGATATTTTCTTTGTTCTTAGGAGCTTTGCAATTTCTAAAAAAATAAGGTTTGAGGATAATTAAAATGACCAAATACTATAAAAACATTTTTGTGAAAACTCCTTACCATATCACCAATTCCAGTACACCAAGAACTTACCCGGATTGAGATTATCCATGTCGCTACTAGAAGCACAGTCTTCACTCATCTCATTAAACTCTATATATTCATCATTCTGGAATGATATGGTTTAGTATTTAGAATAAAATAAAAAGGTATGTTCTCATTTTTATGCTCTTACTGCTAAGCATAAAATATATAGATGACATAATAAATACTTTTGATTATTTTATTTACAAGCAAAACATAAAATCCCTACATATAAAAAATGATCTCTTAAATGTGGAAGGAGAGAAAACTTGAATCTACTAACTTTCTAGGAAGGAAAGACAGGCTAGGACCAGAAATGACATAACTGTCTCTAAAAGCTCAGCTTACAAGTTTGTTAGATTATCTTATTTGATGAAGAGAAAAGCAATAGTCACAACAACCATCACCAAACAGGGTGTTCCTAAACAGGTCTTCATCCCAACTGAACACTTCCCATTACCTAAGTATTCTCTTATTTAACATTCCAAATAAGAAACTAATAATGAACAAAGGAATTACTTTATTGTATCTTGAGATATTCTATAAATGTAAAGGAAGAAAATACCTTTTTAGATAAAAGCATTTCTGTTTCAAGAAGAGTGACACGACTTAGAAGATCAGCCCAGGTTTTTTCATTCACCATCACTTTCCCTTTCATTTTTTCTTCCAAAGATTCTAATCTACTTTCTATGCAAGTCAGTTTCTTCAGCTTTTCTTGGCATTCAGCAAGCATAGTCTGTAGTGCAATAATCTCAGGATTGACTTCTGTATCCTAAAATGATTAGAAAGATTAAAAATATTACACAGATTAAAATTCCTGTAATTCAGTGTATTCCCATTTCCACATGTTGTTTCAATAGTTACAGCAGGCAGGAGAGCATGAGAGTTAAGAGCGCTACTTCTGGAGCAGGCACCTTGGACACTTAAACTAGCTCATGCGAGATGCCCGATGCCTCAATTTCCTTATCTAAAAAGAAAAAGATGACAAGAGTGCCAACTTCATTTGGGTCTTGTAAGATTAAATGGATTAATTTGTATAAAGCTCTTAGAACAGTATCAGTTTGTACAATAAAACTATAAGTGATTAGCTTCTTATAACTAGATCTAGCAGAAAGCTAAGAGGAAATGACCGAGAAATGAGATTGTTCCGTTTGCTATAAACGGGAAGTAAGCCTAATGGTCATCTGGTAGTTTTTTTTTGTTTTTGTTTTTGTTTTTTTGCAGTACGTGGGCCTCTCACTGTCGTGGCCTCTCCCGTTGCGGAGCACAGGCTCCGGACACGCAGGCTCAGCGGCCATGGCTCACAGGCCTAGCCGCTCCGCGGCATGTGGGATCCTCCCAGACCGGGGCACGAACCCGTGTCCCCTGCATCGGCAGGCGGACTCTCAACCACTGCGCCACCAGGGAAGCCCCATCTGGTAGTTTTTAAATGCCAACTGTATACCAAAATGTACAGAAGTCACAAGACATAGAAGACGGACAGAAAAAGAAGTTTTAACAGAAGCAGTAGAGACGAGACACTATAATGGGGTCTGTGGCAATAAAGTAATAGCAACGATATTCCGAGAGAAAGAGAGCAAAAGACAGCAAGGGCCCCAAAAGGAAACTGAAAAGGTGGTAATGCACCATTTTTTTCCATTCATCAATATGGGGAAGAGGTGATAAAGAACCTTCACTAAACAAAGTTGTATATCTCTATCTCTCATCAGATTGTCAATTCCTTGAAGTCAAGTCCTATGTCTTATTCATCTTTGCATTAACCATGACATCTCTCCTAGTACCCTAAATATAAGCAGCAAATAATATCTTTTGAATTATATTCAGTAAGACTTATTGATTCTTAAGTAATGGTAACAAAGGTAACATGTCATGATCAATAATTTAAAAGGCTAGAAACATTCCAAAGATTAGATGCGGAAATAATCATGTATATCAAAGCAAGAAATATCAGCATCTGTTAAAGAAGTCCCAGATTCTTACTTGCTGCTCACACTTAATTTCAGGAACCTGTAATTCAGGAATCTTTATTTCAGCAGCCTTTAAGTCACAAATATCAAATGCTTCATTAACATCTGTTACTGTATCTTCAGGAATGTTAGGACCATCTTCATTGTACAGGTGCCGGATCACCACAGCTTTCTTCTGCACAGAGAAAAACATGTCAGAGATGCTTCCCTGTTCTCCACAATTATTTTAAACATACACATAGTAATTTTTCAAAACAAACATCCTATCTTCCATTTAAGATTTACAGAAGTTTAAATTACCACATATGCATATACCAAATATTACAAACTTATTATTTTAGGTGTGATGATACAATTGTGGTCATGATTTTTAAAAAGCATTCTTATATTTTACAAAAGTATTGAAATATTTATTCAATGATGTCTGGGACTTGTTTCAAATGGTTTCAGGTTTGGGAGAAAAGATGTTGGGAAAAGTGGTTACAATTAAGAAGAAACAAGATTAGCGAAGAGTTGACAAATTGCTGAATCAGAGAATGGATACTTCTGTACAGGTTTGAAATGTTCCATAAGAAGAAGTTATTTTTAAAAGGTTAACACACTATTCACATGTAGATAATCAAGAACTGGCTTCATGAGTAGGACTCATTACAATTTTTTTTTTTTTGTATTAAACAAACCACAAAACATAAGACTGTCGATAACAATTCAAACTAAGGGAAAGTCCTGAGAGTAAGGGCACCAGGTCAAACCGCGTTTACGTAGGACTCTTCTGCCTACTTCCTTTTCTACGGGCAATCCACGTATGAACATGAACTCAGCACATGTGACACAGAAGTCACAACTACCACCCCAGAGAAGGCACTGGGGAGGAGACAACTTGCTTCAGTATTGACTCAGTTTTTCATGTAAACAAAGGAATGCACTTACTACTCCAACTTTTCTAAACTGGAATACTTTTAATAACTATTCAAATTTCTGAGAATTAAGAATTTGATGTAATTTACAAAATTCTGATGGATAACAAAGGAAACTTTATCTTACGAAAATTAAAAAGTCTAATGTCTTCAAATTTTGTATCTTTCTTTGTTAGGACAATTTAGATCACCCCTCAGCCCCCATACTGAAATAGAAGATTGAAAAATGCATCCAGTTCTATCAACTCATACTTAGTAAGTCCTTACAGTGGACCTAATCCTGTGCTAAGCACAATGAATATAAAAAAATCAGTGTAAGAAAATCCCTGTTTAGACAAATTCTAGTTGGGAAAGGATACAAGACACTTACATTCCTTTTCATATTGCCCTCATCACCTGGAGCAAAACAGGCATATTTTTTTTTAAAGTTACTGACATAAGAGCCTTTTTCTTACAGTTAAATGTCACTACTTTTTATAATGGCATAAAGTATAAATATCTTCACAGATTCTGTTTATATAATTCATATTTTGAATTGGGGAAAAATAATTCCCTAGATTTTACTTCAGCCAAAAAATACCCACATTCCTTTATCTAATGACACATCGGTTATTCATCTGGTAGTCTATCCTTCAATCTCAAAGGGCTTGCCCAAGGTGGAAGACAGCTGAAAGTATATTTACCATTATAAAATAATATTTTGGCTTCATTTTCCCTTGGAGATGGAAAAACTATCCCTAAAGGCATTGGACTCATTCAGCCACAGGTGCTTGAAGCAGACAAAGGCAGGGAAGATATCTACCAACAAAGAGAAAATATTCAAAACACTACCCCAAAACCAGATTATAGATTTAAGGAACTGTCAATCATTGGATAATTCACAGTCCTGGTATAGAAATATGAATGTACGTAAATCATGACCTATCACTGTAAGTAAAGGGAGGGTCTTTAGGAAGACTAGATATGTAATTAAGTGCAAATGTTCATGATCGCAAGAGGCAGAATTAAAGATTAGAAATATAAAGAGAAAGGCTGTTCAGTTGTACGTTTCTACCCTCTTCTTATAACTTTAGGAATGTTCCCAGATAATATGTGATATGCACTGTTAAAAATCCTTACACTCTAATGTCTAAGCAGAATGTTTTACCAGATGCTAGTCAGAAAAGTGAACCTTATACGTTGGATTGACTAGGTAGGTAACTCTTAACACTACACAACGCATTCTCTTTGTATTTTCCCACCTTTCCCGAAGTCATAAACCTGCCAGTGACGTCAATGCCCACAGGTTCAGTTGATGTCTTCTCAGCGCTTGAACAAGGTTCTGACTTAGCAGAACTGATTTTTTTTCTTTGTTGTGATGGAGCCTAAAAAAAAGGTATTAAGATGTCATAAATTATGTGGGAAAGCATGATGTATATATTAAATTCCTCTATCACTTAAATTTTCATACGAAATGTGACTGCCAAATAATGCCGAGTCTAATGAGACTACACGTCTCTTGAAAGTTACAAAGTGATGAAAATGTATTATGTTTGAACTATTAGTTTAGGACTAGTAGCTCCAAGTCACAAATGTGCAAAAACAAGTCACTAGTATTTAAAGCAAACATCAGGCATTGTAAGGTTATCCAGACCTGTGAATAGTGCAGTAATTGCACTATGCATTAATTTGCTGACTAGGGTATTGACTTTTTAACATTAAAATATAGCAACTTAGCCTAAGTTAAAATCTATTAATAAAATTACCTTCTCAAGACCACTCAACTCCTTGTGCTTTTTCATCACACAATTCAAAATATCACATATAATTTGGATTTTCCATTCTGCAAATCCACATTGGAGAAACTGCTTTTTCGTCAAGATTGGTTTATAATTAAATTGATCACGAAGAAGCTGTAAAGAGGAAACAGATCAATGAAATAATTGGGAGCAGTTTCTTTCAAAAATCCAAAATTATAAATGACCACCTGGTCAGGGATGTACTGCCATTTTTGAGAGGCGAGAGGGGAGGATTAAGCCATTATATATAGGGCACTAAAGAAACCTGTAGGGGTGCTGTGAGTCCTGACCAGGTAGGAGAACAGGTAGGAAACAGTTAGCTAGGGATGTATCAGAGTATAGATAGCTGTCCAGAGAGATGAAGAAATATATAAAAAGTTCAAATATCCTCATAGGTACTAAAAAAAAAAAAAAAAAAAACTCCTTAGCTCGCTGAACAAGATTACTATAGCAGATATCAGAAAACCACGGTTCTATTTGTTTATAGAAATCATGACTTGATTTTTAGACAAGTTGGTAGGCTACTGAGTTTCAATTTCTCATGTATAAAATGAGAGATACACATTAAACCAGTAATTTTCAAAACCTACTCTGTGGACCCTGGGATTTCCTAGAAGTGCCTCTCAGGCTTCCATGGAAGCTTTCTGGGGTGAGAGACAAAGAAAGGGAAGATTAAACAGAGACTATATTTAAAGGCTATCATTTCATCAAACTCTACCTAAAAAAGAAAAAAATCAAGATTTGATTTGATAAATGGGCTTTACTATTTTTTTAAAAAGGTTAAGAAAACCACAGTACGTGAACAAAAATTAATGATACAAAGTAGGGTTCTGAAAAATCAAACATGAGATTAAGTTCAGGATACATATAGTACAAGTGCAGGTACTAGAGTAGATAATAAGACATGGTTTCAGACCTCAAGGAACACAAGTTGTTCCAACATAAGTTGTAGTCCCTTCTTATAAACAACTAAATTAACTCACAATTTTCTGAACCACAAACTTTACTCACTAAAACCACATTTCTCTCTAACTTCTGCCAGTATACCAAATTTTACTAAAATTTGATATAAAAAAGGCAAATGATAACCAGTGACAATTACCAGTCCTCATATTCATTAGAGTATGACACATACAGCAAACTTGAATTGCATCTTGATTATAACAGGGACTGCATTTACAGGAGATAAATGCATCTGAAAATACTCTGTCAACTATGTATGCGGCATATATTTGAGTTATAATAACATTAATCTTAAGAAAACCATTCAATGACTTCTAAAAGAATTATTGTTTCATAAATTCAAAGTACCTTGTAGACAGTATCTATGAAGCGTAAGTCATTCTTTGCTATGAGCTCTACATTGGAGTCCACCAGAAGTTCTGCTACATAAGGTGAATATGAGGTAAGGGAATAGCTGATGATGGGCAGAGAGGCTGCTGTGTCTCCCCTTACCAAACTGTTAGGAAAAACAGAAAAAGATTTTTAATAAGCTTAATGCCACGAAGTTGGATAATCAGGGAAATAAAAGAAATGCTGTCCAAAACTCATAATTTAACACAATAGCCATAATAATTAGGCGATGCACAAGACCCTTTAGATTCCATCCCCTACTCTAAACCAGTGTAGGCAAATTAACTATGAAACAAAAACTCTTTAGTACCAACAGTCTATTTACCACAGTATTTATTGATTTTCCAAAGCTTAGCCTTACTCGATCTAGTCCATTTTCTCCTACTAATAAAGCAAATGTACGGTCTTACAGTACACAAGTAGGCTTTACGGTTTTGCGAACACTTCTCACATTATCTCACTTGCTCTTTATCACAAAGCTGCAAAGGGAAAATATTAGGAATTCTAAGTTACAGATGAGGAAAACAGGGCTGGAAAAGCTATCAACTGTGACCAGGCTGACCAGTTTACTATCTTCCCCTGACATCAGGCCCATTTGGAATCTACCTTATTAGCTTACGCTAATTCCTCCAGCCCAGAAAGGTATCCTACTCTTGTTATCTGTCATTCATTCTTTGTGCATCATCAGTCAAATCTCAAGCCTCCCATGAAGCCATCTTTCTGATCCACAAGGATCTCTCTCAGAACAACTCCCCAGGTGTTCAGGATCTGACACCTGATGCTCTGCCTTGTACTGTTGTCTAACTGTCTCCACACACAGATCTTGTTTCTCAAGAAGTGCCTTCACTGATTCTCTCACAACAAGGCACAGAAAGTATTTGTTCAACTGATGTGATAATGTACTTACTTAGAACATTTGTTTTCCACAAAATTCAAACACATACATAAATCTCCCCATCCCTGCCCAATTTTTTTCAATAAGGCAGAGAACAAATATGATAAGATTATATTTTGTTTTTTGCAGGACAAACATAAATTGTCTCTCTTTTATGTTCGTGGGTAAAATTATAATTTACCCAGTGAGAAAACTGCTCTAGCAACCTTGTCTCTCTGTAAGACAGTTCAAAACAGGAACTGAAAAAGTACTTTTTTAGAGCAAAATGTGTCCATTTTATCCACATTATGAATAGAAAACAGTCAGGTCTGCATTTAATACCTCTTAAGTTAAACAATCTCAAAAATCTTGGTTACCTAGTTTCTAAGGACTTAGACTAGAAACAGTAAGAGAAACAGACATTATAAATTGACAGGCCAACACGAAAAACAGCAGATGTCAGGAAAAAATTTTAAAATGGCAAAAAGTATACAGAATCAAAATACGCGGAGTGTGTATCTGTACGTGTATGTGTGCATGTCGGATCGGGGAGCGCAACCTGAAGCAGCAGCAAGTAGCACTACCCGTCTCAATAAACCCTGCAGACATTACTGTCTTATAAGATAATCTAAACTTGCTCTTAATGATACTCTTGGGTCAATAAGAAAATCAAATGTTTGAATGCTGTATTCAGAAGACAGGAGAATCATCAGTATATTTTAGAATTATTCCTATCCAAAATGTCTGTTAAAATGTTAATACTTAAAGTGGGAAGAAGAAAACTTGGCTACTCAAACTGACTGAGCCCCTGCCAGTCTGGATAGTAGAGATTTCCCTGTTTTGAGGACCCAGTATATGACTGGTACACACTGTGGGAGCAGACTAGGGAATGCCTTCTGCTTCTCACATATGATGCTCGTAATAACAGTCATCAGAGCTACACCTTCCCTAGTCTCCTCAGCATCTGTTCACTCGCAGCCTTCTCTTGGTTAGCTTTCCCTAGTTTACAAGACTATCTAGGATTCTACTGCGTTAAACCAACCCAGTTTCCCTCACTTCTTGAACATATGCCTAATCTGGACTTGTCCCTCGACACGGTCATTGAATAAATGTCTAATTAGCTTCTAAGATGTGCCAGGCAGTTCTAGATGTGGGGGGCTGCAGTGAACTAAACAAAACGCCCCAGATGTCAGGCTGCAATCTAGGGGGGGGAAACATTTAACCAGTCAGCCATCCCAGGGAGGAAGAAAAAGAGGTATTAAACGATAAGAGGATGATGGGAGTACTGTATTAGGTTGGCAGAATTAGAGAAGAAATGTACCTTGTGACATTCTACAAAGGCGAGTAAGTCACATTTGGAAAGTGGAAACTAAAGCTAAAGGTTTAAGTGAGATAGCTTAATAACAATCTTCAAGCATGGTATAAATTGTCATAAGAAATCTATTAACTAGAATCTCCCAAATCAAAAAGGAATACCACCCAGCTAAGTGTGCGAGGGTGGTAAATTACAGAACTAACGAAATCCATTACACTTCCGTGAGATTAAACGTTGTACAGAGACCACACCTGATTCTAACAATATTGTGCTTCTACTTCTAAAAGTTGTTTTAAATCTCCTGAGTTGGAATTTTTCATTAATTCCTACTTAGAAACAAACTCCTAACTGCTTTCTAAAAATCTCTTAGTCATTTCAAGGAAAAAAATTTAAAGGACCCAGATAAAATCTAGATTTTTATTTAGATACTCCCCTCATGTCAAGCATTACCTCACATCATTACTGAAAATAATACAAAGAAGTTTGATATTGTAGCTCACCCTACACAATCCACCTCTCTAGGATAATTTAGCGAGCGAAGCACTTGTTCTAGGTTCCGTAAGCTTCTTTTTAAGTCACCTGTTGCCATTATTTAACATTTGATTCAGCTCCAGCTTTGGAAATTATCTAATTTTTCACCTAAAAAAAAAAAAATCCATGAAACACTGCTCAACTCTTTGTATCTTTGAAGCTTCTCTAATATCTTTTGTTCAATCTCATACACACTTACCATATTTATCTTAGCTATTTCTCCCCTAATTCATCTTCCCTACTGGTGTAGTACTGTCTTGTATCTTCCATATATTCCTGAATGTCAGGTGTACTTTTCCCCCTCAATATTTTTTCACTAAAAAAATAAGTTTGCCTTATGTTCATCTTCTAACAGTGTGTCTGATATTATATGACACTCTCCCAAATACTTAATGGTACAACAAAGTACAATTTGGGAAGACATATCACCCTAAAATAATCTCCACCAATGAGTATTGTGGATGCTTATAAAGGGTACATAATAAAAATCAGTAAGAAATGGAGACTAAGAAATTTAGCACAGATTTGGTCAGTATTCCCAGGGTTCTGAACTTACATAGTTGTAAATCAGATCGTTTGCTTAAAAAAAAAAAATAGATAAGTTAAAACAAATTCAGAATTCAGCTGGTTAAATATGGAAGCTGGTTAAATGCATGTTACCTTCATTCCCTTTTCTAAACACCACTAAAATGAAAGTAAATGATTAGAAACCATATATACTCATCAGGGTAAAGAAAACTAGAGGGGATTCCACATGACAAAGGATGTGTCAACAAAATTCTGGAAGATGGAAAACGGATGGATGGGTGATAACCAACCTAGCAGAGCAAAGGTAGGTCAATCCCATCCTCCTGTTTAGAAGGAAGCCAACAACAGCAACAGGTTCAGAAATGAGGGGACCTGATACTTCTGAAAGGCTGAAGGGTAAGGCCATGGCCTTGAAATAAGAACGATTATTTGGAAGTCCGTATAAGAAGGTGCTAAACCCTAGATTTTTACTTTCCCTCTGCTTCCCCTCCCACCCCCAACCCCCAGACACATATAACTTGCTCAGCTATAGGCAACTACCTCTGATTCCCCAGGTTTAGCAATGAGTTTTTAGAAAATATCAGCACAACCCATAAAAAAATTGACTTGGAATTCATTAAGATTAAACTTCTGTTCTACAAAATACACTGTTAAGAAAATGAAAAGACAGGCTGCAGACAGAATATTTATAAAACACGTACTGGATAAAAGACTTGTTTCCAAAGTATACAAAGAATTCTTAAATGTAAGAGTAAGAAAACAAACAACCCAATTTAAAAATGGGCAATATCTGAAAATCTCATTAAAGAAGATACACAGATGGCAAATAAGCATATAAGATGCTCAACATCAAATGTCTTTAAGTAATTACAAATTTAAAAAATGATACCACTGCATATCTATCACAATGGTTAGAATCCAAAAAACTGACAGTACCAAATGCTAATGAGCATACGGAGCAACAGGAACTCTCATTTTTGGTGGGTGGGAACGCGAATCACATAGCCATTTTGGAAGACAGTTTGGCAGACTCTTACAAGGCTAAACACCATACAATCAGCAATCGTGCTTAGAGTTATTTACCCAAGTGACTTGAAAATTTAATGCACATACAAGATCCTGCACGCGAATGTTTACAGCAGCTCTGCTCCTAATCACCCAAAACTGTAAGCAGTCAGGATGTCCTTCAATAGCCAAATGAGTTTAAAAAGTTAACACATCCATACAACAGGACATTATTCAGCAATAAAGAAAGAGCTATGAAGCCACAAAAAGACATGAATGAACCTTAATGCATATTGCTAAGTAAAAGGAACCAGTCTGAAAAGGGTACATATTGTTTGGTTTCCATTTTATGATACTCTGGAAGAGGCAAAACTGTAGAGACAATAAAAACTACAGAGATCACGGCTGCAAGGATTCAGAGGTAAGAGGGAGGGTCACATACAGGTAATGTGCAAAGCTACCTCACAGAGCGGGTGGATAGAAAAGCTGCTAAGTAACTTTGGGAATGAGTGGAGCCTGTGAGACTAAAGGCAAAATGAGCTGCACAGAAACACTGTACTCCAGTGTATAAAGTTGTTTCCCATGTACATATGAGTTAATTCCACATATATGCTGGAATTGAACAATTAAGCAAATGGATGGCTAACTAGTAGAAGCCAGGATTCGCACTGCTGGAGTGAGAATTTACAGATAAGCAAGGGGAGGGGACTGGAATGAGCCACGCCTCATGGTTTAGTTAGACATGCAAGTATGAACTCATGTTTAGCTTAATATAGATGCAGAATATGTGTAATGCTGGACTCCTGGAGAAATGGCCAATTCTAGGACTGGGTCAGGAAATATGAGATGAGCCTGAGGCATTATATAATTCTAGAAAGTAAGAAATTACACACAAAACAAACAAACCAATCCCACACGTATGTCATAGGGACACAGGAATCAAATGAAGCAGCTTCCAGTGGTCAAAGCTGAAACAATTTGAACAGCAAAAACAACAAAATCAGGCATTTGATAAAATTCAACATTTAGGATATAATTCTTCGTATGTTAGGAATAGAAGGGAACTGCCTGCAGTTATCTGCAGGATATCTACAAAAAATTTACTGCAAACATCATATGTAAAGGTGAAATATTGAAAGCTTTCTTCCTGAGACTGGGAAAAGGCAAGCTTATCCACGCTCACCATTTCTATTCAATACTGTACTAGAGGTCTTAGACAGTACAAAAATACAAGAAAAAGAAATAAAAGGAATAAAGACTAAAAAGGAAGAAATAAAAATGTCATTAGTCACAGACAACATAATTGCATTTGAAAAAATCCAAAAGAAATCAAATGGATTTAGCACGGCTGCTGGATAGCAGGCCAATATACAAGTATCAATTGTATTTCTCTGTACTACCCAAATAATTTCTAAATTATGTTTAAATATGTTAAAAAATATATGTGTAAATAATTCACTAGCCTCCAATATCATAAACATGTGAATAAGTCTAAAACGGATCTGTAAGACCTCAAAACAAAAAACCCAGAAAACTTCATTGAGATAAATTAAAGAAGCCCTAAATAAGAGGTCTACATCTTGAGCAAGGATTTAAAGACTCAGTAAGTCGATCCATAATTCAATGTATTCCCTCCATGCCATCCCTCCCCAAAACTCCCTGCAGTTTTTTAAAGGTGGAAATTGACAAGCTGATTCCAAAATTTGCATAGATATGCAAAAGATAAACAATAAATAACACAATGCTGAAGAAGATCAAAATTGGAAAATTCAACCACTGGATAATGAGATTCATTATAAACTTAAATTAAGAATTATTGAAAATATCTGCAAACAGAACAATGGAATGGAATAACGTACAGAAATAGACCATGCATACAATGACACTAGACTTATGACAAAGTTGATGCAGAGTAACCCTGGAAAATGGATGCTCTTTTTCAAGAAATGGTACTGTGTCAACTGAATATCCAAATGGGATAAATAAATCCTGACCCCCTGATGTAAAGGGTACCTCACATCCTTCATAATTAATTCCAGGTTTGTTGTTGAAGATCTACATGTAAAATGTAAGACAAATAGGCTTTCTGGAGATCACAGAGTAGAATATCTTTATGATCTTCAGGCAGAAAAAGATTTCTTGTCTTATAACTGATAAAATGAACCACATTAAACTTACTAACTTCTGTTCATCAAAAGATACCCTTAAGAGAGTGGAAAGAAAAGCCACTGAGTGGAAGTTGATACTGTTAATATATACAACCAACAAAAAGATTCATAGCTAAAAGAAAATCCTACAAAGTAATAAGAAAAAGAAAGACAACTCCATAGAAAAATGATAAAGAGATCTGAACAGGAACTTTACAAAAGAGTAAATGTGAAAAGATACGCAACCTCATTAATCATTAGGAAATCACAAAGTAAATCCAAAATGTGAGGTTGCAGAGCATTTGAAACAAACCACAATGGTGTGAAAGGGTAAATTAGTAAAATTACTTTGGGAAACTTATTAGTGATACCTACTAACATACTCAGGGCCCATGAAACAGGAATATGATACCAATGAATACAAATAACAGAATACGTATGTACATTTATGTGCACCAAAAGACATGAACAATATTTGGGATTTTAAATTAAATGGTTCATTTTTTTAAATCTCAAAGAAAATGATACCATGGAATTATATTTTTAAATGACTCATTTTATTGCATGGTGTAGGGCTTTCACTAGATTCTCAAAGGAGGTTATTCCCAAGGGAGCTTCCTAAACTAAACAGGTAAATAAATGGTTAAGGACTTTTGCTAGAAAGAGACAAGGGGCTTCTAAACTGTAAGTCAATCAGCCAGTGAGGCAAAGCTCAATAACACACTTAAAAATAGCTAGTATTTGTAACTGTCCATGGACACTTCATAGAAGGAGAATAATATAAAACAATACCTTGAGTATTGAATTCTCTGGGAATGAAGCTCCTCTAAAATGAGTTCACTGACATTAAAAACAAAAGAGAACAACACATAAATCAGGTGAGTAGAGTTAGTACGGTCATTTCCCCCTAGTCAACATCCCGGCAGCTGCCTAGGATACAAATCACCTTCTTACACACCTTCCCTATATCTACACATAACCAGAGGTAGGCTAGCAATTTGCAAAATCCTAAATTTAGTAAGCTTTCTATTTTAAGCCACTGGCCACCCAGCTCTGTACCCTTTCCTCCTCGTAAAGAACATAGAATCTTCCTGTTCCCAGCTTCCTTTCCTTTATCAACACGGTAAAGAACACGTTATTGAATATACTTTTAAATGCTCACGTGTGGGTTTTAGTCAATATTTTTCAGCCAACCAATTACTTCAACTGAACACATTTTTAGGCAGAGGGAATTTCTAGTGTCAAATGGGAGGGAACTAGAGAAAAGAGGAAGTGATCCTAAAAATCACATTCTACAATATACTGGCCAAGAAGGGTAAACCTTCTTTAACATCTTTTAGGATACCTGGGGGATTTATGTGCATATGGAAGCGGTTGAAGATGACTTCCCAAGACCAGCCTTTATTTTCCTGGGAAAGACAAGGTGGGAACTAATCCGGCTGTTGAATGCAAAAAAAGATATATTCTTGGGTGTTGCCCCTGGCCAATATAGTAGGTGTTAGCTCGTTTTAAGTTCCAGACCCACGTATTGTAACACAATTCTTCTAGGGGGACCTTTTCTCCTAAGACATTCTATAACTTTTATCTCTTCCCACAGACTTCCTTTAATCCTTTCAGATGTATGTTCCATCTTTGCGGTTCATGGAATTTTTGTTTCATTTAACACTTTATGGTATCTTTCCGTCCTTCCTTTCTCTGAAGTCCTGTAACATATACCAATGTCTCACTATTTCTACCTTTGGTAATGGAATTTCTGTCAACAAAGTATGTCCCTGGAACACATCCTCTTCAGTACCAGCAGAATAAATATCTTGAAGAAGAGTAAGATACAGGTACAGCTGGGATCTGTAGGTGAAGGAGATAAGTGATAAACAGGATAGAAAAAAACAAAGGGGTTAAAACATTTTTGAGTATTATAGAAAAAAATTACAGCTACTGCTCTACACTTTCACGAAAGGCTTTACTTTACTATTACAAAACTGAAAAAAACCCTAGAAATTAAGACATTAAAAAAAAAGCTAATTTAGGACTTGTGCACATTTTAACATAGTAGTTTCAGACATGAAAAGTAACTTTTTAAGAAATCGCTTAACATTTTCGCATTATAACCCTTATAAAAAGAAATTAAAAGACAAAAGCATATATCACTCAGCTTGTAGCACAGATTCAACCATTAAGATGGTCTCAATATTGCTTCCTAGCTTCCTCCAGAGAGTTCTCTGCTACTAGTTAGGTCTGCCCCACTGAATTTATTACAGGAGACATCGTGGAAATGATATAAAATAGCATTTTTAAGATTTTTAATCTAGTTGAATCTCACTGTTGTTAGAGGTCATTAAATGATGCCTCCCAATGGAATGCCATTGAATTCAGTGATTTTTGTTCAGAATGAAGCAACTACACCGACTGGTGTAAAGATGACGGTCGATGGCTAAGAGTTTGTGACAGCTCATAACGCTAAATATTATCTATCAAAAACAGAGGAGAGGGCTTCCCTGGTGGCGCAGTGGTTGAGAGTCCGCCTGCCGATGCAGGGGACACGGGTTCGTGCCCCGGTCCGGGAGGATCCCACATGCCGCGGAGGGGCTGGGCCCGTGAGCCATGGCCGCTGAGCCTGCGCGTCCGGAGCCTGTGCTCCGCAACGGGAGAGGCCACAACAGTGAGAGGCCCGCGTACCAAAAAAAAAAAAAAAAAAAAAAAAAAAAAAAAAATAGAGGAGAAAATTGGGGAAAACGGGGAGTAAGGGTCAAGTATATAACTCTGTAGGACTGCTGTGTTCATATATAAAACCGTTAAAAGGTTTGTGGATACTTTTGGAAAAACAGTCTACTACAGCCCTAATTCCGGAATCCAAATTTCAAGATTGATTTTGTTTTTTACGGTAAGGGAAAAAGCTACAGTCCTGTAGGAAAGTGGAGAAACACTGAAACACTAGGGAAATGTAAAGCAAGGAAAACATCAACTATTCTCAGCTCTTGCTTCTCATCAGTATTTCCGAGAAGCCGGACTGCCCCTGAGCTCAGAGGCTCCAACAGCAGAAATCGGTCCGTCTAGGACTTCCCACCCTAAGTTACAACCTGATCTGAGAAGATGAGCTCTTCCCATTTCTTCGTTATCAAAAGGATATCCCAGTCGGGTTCATGGGCAAGGTACGTCTAGCGCTCTCCTCCCCTGCACTTGATTTAAAAGGATGAAAAGGCAGCCCTGGTCACTCGCCCCAGCCGGGGCCTCGGTTAGGGCAGCGGAGAGAGGCGACCCCGGCCCATCCCGGGGCGCAGCCCCGCCTGCACCCCCGCGCTCACCCAGCAGCGGCCGAGCAAAGAACGGGCTCCAAAGGCCTCCGGACCCGCACAACGGGCAGAAGGGGTGGTAGCATGTGCAATCCCAGAGCCCCGGGAGCCCAGCCTCCAGCAACGACTCCCTGCGGCCCGACGCCGACGCCGGGACGCGCTTCTCCCGCCGACCGTTTGTATTCTGAGCAGCGGGTGGAAGCCCGCCACGCACCGCGGCAGGACCTTCCAAGCTGCCGGCTCCCCTGCGCTCCTGGATTCCCCGCTGCAGATTCCACAGCACGTTCGTACAGAGGCCTGGGAAGACTGACCCTGCCGAGAGTCTTTTCTACGTCCAGTCCGATCCCAAGGTGCAGATTCGAAGTCTGCCTGGTTCTGAGGCTCAGAGGGGCTCGGACTGCGAAGTGAGAGACCGGGACTCTGTGGCGAATCGTAGATCGAGGGGATAAAAATACTTCTTCTTGAAGCGCCCCCGAATACGGACGTCACTTCCGGCAACAATAGGAAACGTCAAAACTCGGAGAGTCGGCCGCTCAGGCTGCTGCAGCCTGGGGCACGCTGAATTCGGAGGGATCAGGTGCTGTTTCTGGAATTCTCCCCGACCTCACCTCCACCAGCGTGAACAAATAAAGTTTGAACCGGCTTCTCCATGGCCTGGGCACCCCTTCCCGGCTGAGCCATTTTCTTTTTGGCTGAAAGCCCCCGCCCAGAGGCCGATTCGTCGCGGCGGCGGTGGGGAATCGCAGGTCGCTCAGGTAAGGGTGTCACCCTAGATATTTCAGAGTTCTTGCCTCTCTTCCCTGTACACCCCTACTTTTCTCCTCGGAAATGATGACCACCGGTGCTCCAGTTGGCAGAAACTTGCCAACCAGCGAGACTTTGGGGCCAATGGCTGTGCGAAGCACCTTGAGTGACAGCGGTGTTGGCTAATTAAAATGAGGAATCCGTGTCAGGAGGCGGGAGTAGGTGTGCTCCTTGTGTTCCTGGGTGACTGGGGACCCCTAGGTCAGCTTGGGACCCCAGGTAGGAACCGGCTTCACTCTGAAATAAAGCCGGGAAACAGCAGAGGTTACGCTCTTCTAAGCCCAGGTGTTGCTTTCCAAGTAGAATGTGTTTTTGGTGCATAGGCAGAGTTTTTGGCTCTTAACATACTTTTTACAGTAACGTGAATGCAAACACATCCAGTTAAGGTCACGATGGATTGCCAGTTGCTACAGCTGTTAAACTTTGGTTATAAACTCGGCAGATTCTTAACTTGTCTCTTGCTTGTTTCTCTGTGACTAGGCTCTAGTTTCTTATATGGTGGGTGCTCACTTAATTATTATTAAAATTGGGTGAAATCACAAATGGATCCCAATCCTCAGTCGTTTAAGGGTTTTGTTTTGTTTTTAGGTTCTGTATGTATTTAGTAATTTAATAATTGAATCTACTTCTTTTAACAAGTGGAGTCTTTATTTTCAAGGATCCCAGGTATTTCCATATCAATAGATTATGACCTTTATTACTGCAAAGTGAAGCTAATTTATGTTTTCCATTTCAGCTTTCCATATATTTTTTTAATGTTGCAGCTGGTGACCATATTTCTGGGATAGGGAGAATTTTTACCCCCTAAGAAAATGGTTCACAAACTTGAGCAGATATCAGAATTAAGAATAAATTTTATTCTCTTTTCGGGTTGAGTAGGAAACTCGCCATTTTTATCCAGTTAACTTGACAGTTTGTCTGAGATACTGTATACAGTATGGCAGCTGACTTTCGCTCAAGTGAGCAATCCAAGAGAGAGCACCCAAGACTCTCTCTAGTCTTCTATAAGCTAATCTCAGAAGGGGCATTCCATCACTACTGCCATATTCTGTTGATAGGAGTCAATAAATCCAACTCAGTCCCTGTGGAGAGGATTACACAAGGGCGTGAGTCCCAAGACGCAAGGGTCTATGGGAGCCATCTTAGAGGCGGCCTAACACAGACACCCTGGCTAATAACTTTTAGGAGTTAATAGATAGAAATAACTGAGCAAAAATATGCCTGATTGTAATGAAATAGACAAACTTATACATGGATTTTATTTCTTGGAAAGTTTTTTTTTTTTTTTTTCCTGGGGCGGGTCTTTTTTTTTTCACTAAATGCCTGAAGAGAGGCTTATTATTTTTCTTGGAAAGCTTTGCTTGAGGAATGACATGTGTGAGAGGAAGGTTTGTGTTTTTAAGGTGTATGTGAACAGAGCATATCACAACTGGAGACTGTGTATTCCTTACCCATTGCCATTTTATATGGTTGAAATGGTTTCAAAATAAACATGAGCGAAGATAGCTTTAAAGGTGGAAAGAAGTTAGGAAAGGCTAGAGGTAAGCCTTTCTAGTGTAGAAAGAATGTGGCAGTCTCTATGTTGGTATGAGAGCAAATAGGAGTGGGAGAGGTCTGTCTGAGAACAGAAATGTGTTTGTGTGTTTGTTTTTAAGCATTATTAGATGTCAGGTACCACCTTCTTTCAGCATTACCTGGCCGCACATCACCAGCACAGCTTTTGTCAGTGAACCAAATGAGCTTATTGGAAATGAAAGGTACGGGCTTCCGGGTTTATTGTGACACTGTTTTGGCCTTGACCCACTGTAAAATTGCCTATGCTTCTTCCAGGTTTGAAAGATGTTGTCATCTTTTATACCTCAGGTGCTTAACGCCAGCCCGACTGTGTCAATCCTCAAATTGTAGATTTGGCTTTTAAATAGGTACTCCCTATCAGGTTAACATAGTTCATTTATAGTAGGTTACAACCAATTAACTAGTGCAGTTTTGGGCCCTTAGATGTCTGCTAAATTTAGTTTTGGCCCCTTAGATGTCTGCCAGATTTTAAACAGGTGCTTGCTAAAATAACACAGTTGAAATACTTCATTCACAAAATATCTTATGGTAATAACTAGATAAGCTAAACCATGCCTTGTAATTTATTACACTTATTATCAGTTTAATAGGGAATGTTTTGTGTGTTTATTGTGCTTAGAATTGCATAAATTAAAAGATAGTTATTTTCCTTATTTCACGATACAAAAACATGAATTACCAAGAAATTACCTTTTCTTTGATCACAAAGCATTGAAATTAGTCATTCAAATTTATGATTTTATCGTTCATTACTTAACCAACTGCTATGTATTGATACAACTCTCTTTTTTTCCGACATTTTGATTCAGATTTGGAAACTGAGGCTAATCCATTGGCTGACCTATGATAATGTGTCAAAATCATTAACATGAAGTCTATGAATTATACATCAACTCACGTTGCATTTCCATTGAATTATTTTACTTACTATTTTAAAACAACTTTAATGAAATACATCCACTTCTAGAAATTTATGTTCTCCATTTCTTTATTTTTTTCTCGTGGTTTTGTTTTACTGACATTTATTGACATAGATTATCCAGTGAAACTTGAATGAGTTTATATTCTATTTAGGGCAAGTGCTTTTGTGATGTAGATAGAGATGAGAAAAGATATTTGCTTTCAAGTTTAGGCTGTTTGGGAATTTAGCTCTGTGATCAGCAGTTTGTATGTATTCTGCAAGAGCAGATTGCAGGGGATTTCATAAGCTATTTGAAAGAAGGAACAAGATTTTAGCAAGTGAGCCATGCTTGGAGAGCCCCTATCTGCTCATCCTGAGCAGTGATTTGTAGAAGTCATGGACATGGGGGGAAACAGATGGAAAGGACAGATGCTAGATACACATACACAGGCACACATACGTCCATCTCCGTCACCTCTTCCTTTTATTTTAATTTTTTAGGATTTTCTCATTTTTATAGGATCATAGAATTTTATAGCAAAAAGAGAACTTAGGGATCATCAAGTTCAAAACCCGCTTTTTACCGGTGAGGAAAGTGAGGCTTTGAGTATTGTGCCCTCTACTTACAACTAGTTGAAGGAGCCTGAATCAAGCTCATGCTTTGTGTCAGTCTGTTTTCATTGTTAGATGTTTTCTCATCTCACTTCTGACTTTCCTGTTGGCTCCTGTCAATATTTATTTTATGTTAATACCTTGTCTTATTTGTGTAAAAGCAATTCAGTGAGAATTACAGTTTTTGTTTTGTTTTCCCATTTTTTTTTTTATTATGGTGAAATATACATAACATAAAATTTGCCATCTTAGCTTTTTTTTTTTTGCGGTATGTGGGCCTCTCACTGTTGTGGCCTCTCCCGTTGCGGAGGGGCCCAGCCGCTCCTCGGCATGTGGGATCTTCCCGGACTGGGGCACGAACCCGTGTCCCCTGCATCGTCAGGCGGACTCTCAACCACTGAGCCACCAGGGAAGCCCCATCTTAGCCATTTTTAAGTGTACAGTTCAGTGGCATTAATAAACACATCGTTTTGTTTTTTAATTCTACAACTCTCATAGGAATGGCTTTGCAGTCAGTGGGCATGGAGTGTGGTGTGCCATGAGGAGGTAGGTTGTGATGTGCTGCCATGACCACTGCTGATTGCAGTTGGGTTGAGTAAAGAGTGCAGTTAAAGAATCAGTGTAATTAAAAATAATGCCAGTGAGAAATTTAATAAATTTATTTTATTTGAAAGTTAAAACAGACAGTGGAACATCTCTTGCAAAAGAAGCTGAAGAAATAAGTGAAATTAAATAAGCCTCCAATTCTCTGCTTTTTGGTTACATTTTAAATGATATCTTAATGTTTACATTTGTTTAGATGCCATTTGGTAACACTCATTACAGAATCAAAGAACAGGAAAAAACCTTCAGAAAACAAAGTAATATTGTAAATCTTTTTCGAATTAAAAAAAAAACCTACAATGGTATGCTTTTTAGTAGCAAAAACTGCTCTTGCAGGACCAGATCTTTAAATTTAATGACTGAGTTTTTTTGTTTGTTTTGTTTTTTTATGTTTTTAATGTACCCTGTGACCTCTTAGTACTTAGCTATTTCCCTCCTGAAAAAGGCCTCCTTGTGGACTTACCCTTCCTTCATTTCTCTACAGTTGTTGCCTTTCAATGTTAGAAGTGTGATTGGTTATCAGGTTTTTTCTTTTCTTTTTTCCCCTCTACTCAGTCTGTTCTAAACTACTTTGGTGGTCTGCTCTTTTGGAAGTAGAGAAGTAAATGTTGGGCTGCCAATTTGGTTATATATGTATAAAATATTTTATCATAGACTCTCCCATGTTCTTATGCCTTTGAGTAATATCACATGATAACACTTAAAAAGGTTTTTAAAACCTAAAGTAACCAAAAATCTAGTTGTTACTTTCTCATTGGAAAAAAATTGAAAATCTCTAAGAAGATATAAATGAGTGAATTTCCTCATCTTTAAGGCAATAGAATTTGCATGTTAGAGATAATTCTTTTGGTACACATTTTAGGTCTTTATCTGAGATAGGAAATTTCTTATTTGTAAACCCCACTATTTAGACACTTAAGAAATATTGAAAAAAACTAACCATTTATAATGAGTGTTTAAAGTAGCTCGTTCATGTCACTCATAAAGTAGCCATTCATGTTAAACCCGTGATTTAACACTGCTTGCTCAGGAAGAGACTTTATGGAATCTCGTTTGCTTCAGACAAAAGTGTTTAAAGCAGAATGCTTTCCTGAGACCTCCAGGCTGCTTTGTGCTCTTCCCATCTTCCACTGCATGTCATCCATCCATCTAAATGATGCATAATCCATTCTTTATTACATATATTTGTTTCCACAGCATGTGCTATTTGAATGCTTAGTGCCATAAAATTGCTAAAAGCAGTGGTACAGTGTGTTCTTT